TCTGAATTCATCTTCCAAAGATTAAATTTGATGTAGAAGTTGAATCACTGATAATATTTTATTTTTGAAGAAACACTTAACTCTTATTATTGCTAGAAATCAGTTCTGTTAGTAGGCCACTCTCTTATTATTTTATTGAATTTTATCAACTGAAAATGATTTCCATTCTTAAAATATTTTTTCAAAGACATACAATATTGGCAAGTCGAGAACATATGTGTATCAATCCAGCAATACGTGTTAGTGATGATATCAATGGTAAATGTAAAGAATTCATATCTTCGGATGGGGTAATTTAAAATCCTGTTTTAATTTGTGCAGTTTGTACTTAAGCGAATGTTACTATCAATCTTTGTTTGTTGTTTACAATGTTTTGAATGATTTGCGAATTTGAAATCGAATTGTTCAGATTGGTTGTTCATACAAAAATTCAATGCGTGGTAAATATGAAAGACCGAGCGCAGTAAGACGTTTGGTTGCACAAACTACTGGGCAAATGAATTATATCTGGGATGTAGAGGATCTTGTTAAAGCGCTAAAATGTTCTACGCCTTCACTTTGTCCCTATTTCTCAACTGCTCGAGTACTTATCGACGATGCTGATATTATTTTTTGTCCGTTCTCTTATCTTATTGGTGGGTATCCTTTATAATGTTTGTCGCTTACATAAGATTTACTATATTGAAATTTGAAGAAGTTGGTAAAGAATTCTCCAGTTTTTTCATTAATCAAGTGAAACATTGTGAAGTAAGTTTTTGCAGACCCCATTATCCGCGCGAATTCTGGTTTAAGCCTGAAAAATACGGTAGTTATTCTCGATGAAGCGCATAACGTGGAAGATGTTTGCCGTGAAGCTGTTAGTTTTACATTCATGGAACGTGAACTGGTTGGCGCAACTGCAGATTTATATCAGAAAGGTTAGGAAACTTTGAGTCCTGGAAATGTTTCTTGTCTTCCTTTGGAACTTAAGGTATTTGATTGCAATAGAAACTCTTTTCAGCAGCAGAACTTGAGAAAGAACTTACAAAAGTGGATGCTAAAGTTGTTGCAGAAGAAGGATTGATTGAAACAGAAGACAGCAGGGCGGGAAGATATAAGGAGTGTTTGGAAGTGATGAAGGGCCATTTTAAAACAGTTTGTGTTTGTTGAATCATCGAGTCGATTATAATGATATTTTCTGGAAGCATTTTGTTTTTGCGTTTAGTGAAGGATTGGTTAAAATTTTAATGTCAGATCTGGTTTGACTCCAGAAAGCTAAAACGATTTCCAAGATTGTTTGTAAAAAGGATAAGATATATTAAGATATATATATATATATATTTTTTTTTTCAGGTAATTAATTTTTTAAACAAAATATTGGATTGGTTTGTGGATGTATCATCAAATGCGCTACAGTCGGCATCAATGAAAAATGATCGGCTTACCTATACTTACAAATGGGAAAAGCTTTTCACAACATTAACGAGTAATGATTTGGATATATTTAGCAAGACTGGCAAAGGAACCGCTTATTCAGGTCTACTGGTAAGATGTCACTGCAAAAATTGCTGTCATTAATTTATTTTGAAGTATTTCAAACTAGAGCTTTCCACCAATTTTTCAAAAGATTTGACTTCAGAAAGTTCCTTGGGTTATTCCTGGGGTTAACAATTTGGAAGAATTCGTGCTAATTTTGTAATTGAAATGCGTTTGTGACGAACACTAATTTTGGATCAAGTTTTGGTTGTTGCTTTGTATTGTCTCTCCTCGACTTAGCTTTAGTAAGCAATATATGTGTAGCTTGGTTAAAATATAGCAACTCTTCATGTTTCAAAGCTTAAAAGAAAGGATCTTGTAGAAAAGCGGGGCTAGAGCTGTTTGCAGATCCAAGTACTTAATGTTATCCATCATGATTAGGAACTGGCTTAAAGTTAATTATTTTATTTAGGAAGCATTCATATCTATTACCGGTGCTTGTAATGAAAATGATGAGTTTCAATCTTATTTGAAGCATTACAAGTTATGTGCTACAACAGCTATTTGTGTGGAAAAATTTCTGTATTTTTTCAAATCGTATTTTCGGGATGATAATCGTACAGCTTATAAGTAAGTTTTTGTCGAAATTATTTATAATGATTTTATGGAACAGTTTGAACTTCTTTTCAGTTTTCCTTTTATGTAAAGTATTATTGAGAAAATTATCTTTTAACGATTTCTTTGCAGGTTATTTGTGTGTATCGACAAGCCATTTGTACCATATTCACAGTCAAATATTTTCGACGTAGCAAAGAACTCGTCAAATAGCGTATGTCAGACTTTCCAGTTTCTTTCTGTGAACTGAAAATATTGGGAGAGAATGAGTTCCGTACGTTACGTGTATCGTTCGTTGACAATGAATGAACATTGTGTATTGTGTGTTCTGAAAAAAAAGCATATGTGGTAGTTGAGACAGATTACAGGTGCTCAAGATGGACCTGCCTTTAGAAAACGAATAAAATCTAAAATTCATAATTTAGATTTCAGATTGATATATTGGATATGAGTTCATACGATAAAGAAAAAGAAGAATGGTTAGATTCAACAATACGTCTGAAAGGCTATCGCGAAGTGAAATATGGCTATCGTGTTGCTATTAGTTTTTGGTGTATGCGCCCATCATTGGTTGGAATTATAATGATATAACTCATGTCAAGGAATAATTATATAATTAAAAAGAAGCTTGATTATAAGTTGTTTAACTCCAGAATTTCGAATTTGGTTTATGAAACTTTTTTTCTGCCGAACATCTTTCAGTGGACAGGACATTAAAATTATTTTATCATTCAATATCGAAGCATCACCTACTTCCACCAGTAGGTATGGCGGCATGGTGCTAGTCCGTTGAAAATTCCTCAACTATAGTCGTCAAGCTTTTGGTCTGATAAATCTGCTGATTAAAGAAAGCGTCAATGGTTTAATGTTTCAGGCTTACACCGATGCATTCAAAGGATGTCGTAGCGTTATTTTAGCTTCCGGCACACTTTCTCCGACGGATACTTTTCGTACCGAACTTGGTACTACTTTTCACCAAGAAATGGAGGGAAATCAAATTATACCGGATGAGCAAATTTTTGCTGCAGTCATTCCATCTGTAAGTTTTATTTCAGTCTTCATAATGTTATTATTTTAAAAAATTAATAGAAATGCATCTTTATGAGTGTTTCAGGGACCAAATGGTGAAAAATTATGTGGAACTTATAGAATTATTAACCGAGATGACCGATTTATACGGGAAATTTCACTGATTTTGAGGTTTATTTGCTTATCGTAGTTCCACGAAGTTTTCTCATTGCCCTAACCTCTACCATGATTTTGAGAAGATAGGACAGATTTCTAGAAACTCCAAGCCAGACGAAAAGATATTCTTTGTATTTTTGCTTGGGCACCCCGTGCTGCGAATCTTCTAAAGACTTCACTTCTCGAGCGTATCTGGCGAACAATACATTACTAGCAGAGGGTGTCTTGCATTGAGTGAGCAGGTCACGGTATTCTCAAAATGTGTGTTCATTGTGTATTCATTGCTTTCATACCATTTTTTCCGTTTTTTTATTGGTTAAATTTCGGCACAGCATCCTCATTTTATCTTATTTAGCGAAAAATATGTTCCATCTTTTTTCAGTCATGTTTGTAAAATAATACCGAAAGGTGTGTTATGTTTTTTCTCAAGTTATCGTGTCTTGGATCAAATTTATGAATATATGGAAACGACGGGTATTTTAAGGCAAATACAAAATATCAAGGTAATTATCTAATTTTAATATCCAGAAAAAATTTATTGTGGCAAAATGCATCACCGAACATTCCATTTAATCGTACAGCCAGGGTTTTGTAATCTCTCTACTTGAATCTCAGAATTAGGGTCAGAAATTAAACGACGCAGTTGTGCCTCATCCTATCTTACTGATTTTCCAGTTACAGTCATTAGTTCTCATCATTGTATCATTATCATCTTTTTGCGTGTTATTTCCATGGAAATCAGTGAGCTAAAAATAGATAATTCTATCCACAGTTAACTTTGCTGTTTTCAGCTTGTTTTGAAAGAACCGCGGCGTTCATCACTAATGAATACTGTCATGATGCAGTATGAAAATGCGATTGTTAATTCCTTCGACTTCGGACCACAGTGTACTGGCGCATTGCTGATGGCAGTTTTTAGAGGCAAAGTAGTTACTTGAATATTTTAAATTGTTGAAGTTATGACAATAATATTAACAGACTTTTTGCTTTTCCAATTCCGTATTCCAAGTTTTTAGCTAAATTCCACAGTTCATTCCAGAAACGTATTTTTTTGTCTAGGCTTTTTTTCATACTGCTTACCTTCTAAAAACCGTAGTATTTAAGTAATCATCACAGTTTTTATTATTTTACCATTGTTTACACAACTAAAATTAACGACGATTTCAATACAAAAGAAAAGGATTGCTTTTACTGTTTTTACTGCCTTTTCACCTTAATTTTTATAAAGGTCTCGGAAGGTATCGATTTCACTGATGACAGAGCTCGTTGCGTGGTGACCGTTGGTATACCATTTCCCAGTGCTATGGACGAACAAGTAAGTTTGATAATTTTCTAAAAGTAATAAATATTCGTTCCCAGTTTTTGTTTTCCGTACTTTTTGATCGTAATTGTATGTCAGGTTGTTGAAAAGAAAAAATATAATGATGATTACTGTACGAAATTACGGATCTTATCGGGTGATGAATGGTATACAATGCAAGCATATAGAGCTCTCAATCAAGCTTTAGGAAGGTAAATTAAAAATCTTCATCAAATTTATGAGTAATATAGAGCTTATAACATTTTATCTTGTAATCATCTTTATTAATTAAAAAATTGTACTTTTAGTAAATCATTTCTAAATGAGAATAATTTAACGGAGTTCAATTTTAGCTCTCATTAAGCCTGTAAGAGTAATAATACCTGAAATTTTTGCATCTGAAATGTTTGCGCTGTCATTGAAGCTTCTTCATCAGTTCTTCCCAAAACATGTAAACATTTGGAAGTTGACAACTGATGATGCCATTTCTGATCGAATCTATGAAAATTTAGACTAGATCCATTGAATTTTTATATATCATTCTTCCAGGCAGATGTTTACAGATTATTTATAGATGTTTACGACATCGTTCCGATTGGGGGTCGATTTTGATGCTCGACGAACGATTATTGCAAATACGGGCAAATCCAAATGCTAAAAAGGTTTCACGATGGATACGTGAACAGTTGCGGCCATTGACAAACTATGAGCATTTCCTTAGCGAATTAACCAGTTTCGTGAACAAAATGGAAATCAGAAATTCGCAGCTACCTAATAATAGCGACTGTAATACTGTGAATGTTGTTGATGTTGAGGAGTAATATATGCTACTGCCATAACGTTTGTTTTTAAATGTTCCTCAGAAGATCGTAGTTCACATAGATTTTGAATCCAAACTTTCATTTTTATGGCACATTCTTTCTATGAAATCTGATTTTTGATGACTGCCATTAAAATTTATCAGATCTGTGCATGGTGGTTGTGTGAAGTAAGCAAGTTTTATGTTATCGCTAAAATATATTTTGTGCTGAGTAGAGACGGTTTGTTAAGTTACCAAATTTTGTTGAGTTTTCAAGAGATATTAACGATGTTGTGCTTTTTTCCTTTCATTACCGTCTAATTTCACTAATGTTATTGAGATCTCTTGAGTACATTCACTATGGATGGTACTGCTTTAGCTTTTTGATATTTAGAGTACAAGTTAGTTTAGCTAATTACTACATTATCTTCTGGAATAATTTTTAAAGAAAGTGAATTCCTCACACTCACAAATATTCAATAGGTTATCAAATCAGTTCAGTTGATTTTTTGGATATATCCGATCTGGTTGGTAAATTATAAGGAAAAGTAAGGGATAATACTGAATAAACTTCTCTGACTGCTATTGAAAAAAAAGAAGTGCTCTAAAGTGGTCATTCATCTCATTTCTTCTCTGATATCATTGCTCACTTAAATGTTTTTATTCTCTGCTGAAAGTTATTAACTTGATTTTCAGCTTTGTAATGTTCTCTTTCTAAATCTACATTTGTATGATAAATAAGAAATGATTCAGACATCAGCAAATAAGAGTGAAGGAAAATATCCACGTTTTTCTTATTTGCATTGATGTTATCCTTGGTATTTGGTTTTTCTTTTTTTTTTTTTTTTTTTGTCAAATTTTAGGATTTGTGGATCGTTTAAACTTAACCTACTTTGATTCTAATATTATGCGCAAATGGTACATTCCCATGTTTATTGTAATTTGAAGAGTTATTGCCAGTAAATTTCTCATCTTTAAACATAGAAATAGTTATCATTCCCCGTATATCAGAAGTGTCAATCAGTTATTGTAAAGAAGAGATGGGAGTTGATTCTTGTGTTTATTGTCGCCGGTCTCTTTTTTTTTTCTTCATTATTGAGGTAGGAAGAAGATATCATCTTTAAGCCGTAATTGTAATGGTCTCCGAAAAATACAAAGTAGAGTAGTTAAACTTTTTCGGTTTAGACTGTGATATAGGAAATGAACTTGTCTATCAAGCATGGTGATATATGTATATGTCCATTCCTCTAAACAAATACCTATCCTAATAGTTTTAGGTTCTAATTATGAATATTAATTAAAGATTTCGATGCGATACGATAAGAAATTGAAAGAAGCTATCGATCGAATGTTACACTTCATGTATCCCTTTGCTAGGATAAAATTGATCGATCATTCTCAACAATGTTATGATAGAGAGATGAACCAATCATTTTCGAGTAATAGCAATAGTAACCTTTGACCCTTTATCACTATTATACCTATCTCCTACATTTCATATAGCAAATTTGGACAATTTAGGAGTGTGGTGAATGGATAAGTGAGTCATTTTCATATGGGATTGATTCACGGAAGTATTCCTCCGTAAGATTTCAACCAACCATCCATCCAATCAGCTTCCTCTCTTAACTTTCACGCTGACGTATCGTAACGAAATTGGCTATAATACGAGAGGTGTGTCGCTTTCAGAAAAATATATTTCTTTGTATGCCTCAGACTTGTTTATGTATTATGTATGTATGTGTTTTTGTGTATGTGTCTGTATGTCGGTGTCTACGTGTGTGTGTGTGTGTATGTGTCTGCATGTCTGTGTCTACGTGTGTGTGTGTATGTGTCTACGTGTGTGCGTGTGCGTGTGTGTGTGTATGTGTGTGTGTATGTGTGCGTATGTGTGTGTGTGTGTGTGTCTATGTGTCTATGTGTATGTGCCTGCGTGCATGTGTCTACGTGTGTGTGTGTGCGTGTTTGTGTCGACGTGTATGTGTGTGCGTGTGTGTGTCCGTGTCTGTGTCTACGTATGTATGTGTCTATCTGTATGTGATACTGGTGGTAGGCATTTGATAATTTTGCTATTTTATGGAGGAGGGGACGACAGTGATAAAATGAGAGGAAAATTTTTAAATTAGTTGTAGTTATATTATAAACATGTGTGTGCATGTTTGTCTGTGCGTCTGTGTGACATTTTGTTAATTTAATTAATATATTTAAAGTAGAGGAAGCTTATATTTGACGGGAATATTTAAATGTTCAGGTCATTTACATCTGTGACAAATTTGACGACGGTTTGCTCTCTTCCACTCTTTCTAATTTTTATCATGAATCATCATTGTTAACTGTTTATCATCATATTGATAAATTTATCATTGTAATGATTGTTTTTCTTTTTTTTAATGATAAATGACTTCATTTTTTCTTGTAAAATACCAAATTGACTTTTTCTTTGCTTTTCTAAGAAGTAGTAGAGTTATTTGTGGAATTTAAACAGGAAATGCATTTTATAATAGCTATTGCTAAAAGAATAAGATGGAAAGGGAGGAAGAAGGGAAGAGAGAGGGAGAAAGAGAGAGAGAGAGAGAGGGAGGAAGAGAGAGAAAATGGGTGGCACTTAGAGACTGACGTGGCATTCGGATGGTTGGATTGTTGTATATAATTCTTTATAAATATCTGATCTATAATGAATATGAAATTATCCGTTTAGTTGATTATTCTCTGCTACAGTTATCATATTTCTTCTATTCTTTTCTTTGCTATTTCATTATTTTTTTTAGCTTACTTTTGGTATTCCTGTTTTGTTCTTTTTTCTTTTTTTTTTTTCCTAGCGTTTTGTTAATTATCACCAGAGATTTTCAGGGATTCGTTTAACTAACGATCTATTATCGATCGATACATAGTGGATAATGAGTGACGATCCGTGTGAATGTTTATTCAATCATGAGAACGCAATGAGGCGTTTGCTTTCATTGGTAAAGAATTAATTATTAGATGTTCGCTTTTTTTTTTGGATTATTTTACCTGAAATCTATCCTATTGAATGGAAGAGGCAGAATAGTTGAGCAATTTTTGAAGGAATTTAGAGTACATGGAATGGAATTGTTTAGCGGTTAGTCCAGGTATTTTCTCTTTTTTTTTTTTTTTTCGGAATAAACGGTTATATGCGACGTGCTACATTTATGAAACACCTCATGATGAGCAACCATCCTATTAAGTAATTGATTAGCTGATGTTGACAGTTTTGCATAGAGAAATGGTAGCATGCTACAATGCACATATCTCACAGTGCTCGATAGAAATAAGAGATTGTATGGATAAGGTGATGGAATGATGGACATGAGCAGTTTATTCATATTATTTCAGTTACGGGATTCACAAGGTTATTGCACGGATTCCGAATGTGTTCAAGATTTGCCGGGTCCACAAGGTGCAGGTTTTGGTGCCAGCAATTTAATGATGATTGCCATTTTGTGGGCTATACTTGCAGTTGCGATGTTTATGTTGCGTCCAAATTCGATGCGCTCAAGAACAGATCCATTGGGGAAACCCGGACCTCGTTCGGTAAGTATGATTAATTGATGATTTTTCGGAAATTCCATAGAATGATAGATATAAGGAGATTTTATGGCGATTTCAATTCAATACAAGCTTTATGGATGTTTTTTTTTTTTAATATACACTTAGTTTTGACAAGTATTTCAATAATTTTCGACAACCGAATAACATATTCTGTCTTTTACACTTCAGTTTATAAACTTAAATCGTTGAAAATGTCGTTTTGCTAGCACGATCTAAGGCGATTCATGTTCTTGTTTTTTTCCTTGCAACTTTTCTGGAGTTTTTATTTGTCAAAACTAAATCTTCTATTTTTGGTCACGACGTAGTTTCCTATTTAAAAACTGGTTTTTTATTGAAATTGCGCTACTTTTTCATCTGCTAATGCTACTATGTTACTCTTTTGTTTTTTGCAGGATGGTGATACTCCTGAACCGCCAGCACCTAATGCACATTAATATATACAACCATCAACTCATCCACTGAAGTTCAGCAATGAAGCAAAACAATAATTAATCCACAGATGTTCTTCCTACCTTTGTTTGAAGTGTTTCACAAACGAATGGTATATTAATAATAGAAGGGTATAGTCACCTCAGTGAATGAGTGCTAATTTGTCAGCACAGTTCTTGTAAATATTAATTTTTCTGATTATACTTTTCCGATTTTATCAGCAGTTTTTTGAAATACACAGGTTGTGAATTTAAATAGTGGAGGTAGTCCTTTTTGCACATCCTTGTAAGTAAAGTTTGGACTTTTCTTTTGCTTTTCCATATTCGTTCCAGACATTTCTTTCAATTTTATTCCATTCTAAACCTCGCTTTATTGTTGTAGCAAGAAAAGAGATTAAAATGAACCAGTATGAACTTTTGAATTGAACAATTATACACTGTATAGTGAGACAGTAAGTGGGAAAAAGCTATAATTCAGGTAATACTCCCAGTTAGTGATGATTTTGTAATCTCTGAGAACTGTGATTTTTCTCCAATTATTGAATGTTTTTTTCGCTGATTTGCTGGAAAAACAAGTGAATTTCTCTTTTCGGCGATAAAAATGAACACAGCTGTCCTTTTCCTTTTTTATTAGATAATAAGTGAACAGATATAATTTCGCTTCAGTATAATGTTTGCATCATTATAGCATCTTATTGCTGCTATTTTGAGCTTTTCTTTCGTTGATGGTACGAAAAGCAGCAAACTCTTGCTCATCTATCCAATTTTTTTTACCATGAAGTTTTAATGAATTCTGTCTGGTTAGCCTTCCTTCTCCTTGCTAATTATCCCTTCCCATTCATTCTCAATTATCGTCCTCCTTCATCCATCCTCCAATCAAAACTTTGTAATTGTTGTATGACTTATGAAATGTATTTATACTTTGATGGTTCTTAATCAAAAAAAGAAAACTTTTTCGGGATTTCGTTCATTTATTCTCAAATAGTGCACCTCATATAGATTCCATTCCCGGATGTAATCCATGCATTTGAAAATCAAAAATTTTTTCCATCGCTAGAAGGGAAGTTGAAATTTACTATGCAATAAAAAAGAAAAAATGACGCCAGGGAGATGTACATCATTTGTCATCTGCTTTGGTGATCTATTGACTTCAGCTGTTGATTCTTATCGGTATCGTTTTGTGTTGATAAGTGGCATATCTTTTATCAGCATGCAGACAATAAGTGCACAAAAATACATCCGTTTTAGTAGAAATCTAGAAGTTCCCAGTAATATTCATGGTTTCACTTCCAAATATCAGTTTTAGTTCAGTGCAAAAATTCTAAAACAGTCACTTATGATCTACCAACATAATCACAAGTTGGAGTAGGCGGTATGATTTCTTGACTACCATCATGATTCAGCTGGTATCAGGTTGTTTGATGTCTTGATAGTATGAGAATCTGCCTTCACGGAATAATTGAAAATGCTTATAGTATGAGATTATGCATTAGTTAAAGCTCTTAACTGACCCTTAAAGGGTGTTTTTCCTCAAGTGCTTAACAGTTGGGAAATTTTTTAAAAAGGATTCAATTATGAGTACAGAGCGAAGGAGGATCAGCACCGAACAAGTAGGTTAATATCATCATAAAATGATACAAGATCGGAAACTGCAGTTAAAAGTTTCACACGGATACAATACATTCTAATAACAGCAATCTTTTTTTTAAAAAAAAAACGATTTTAATTTTCGGTTCCATTGCAAGAAATCTATTTTCATCTATTATGTACGAAGCAATCGGCTAAGGAAGGTAAAGTTTTTGGAAGCAATATGAATTGGCTTCCTGAAGGCAAGATTTAACAGCAACTGTTCAACCATGTACTGATTTGAGAATCATTTTCCTACCACATTAATGATGAATAAAGAAACTAAGGAACTAAGAGGGTGAAAGAAAATTGGAAAGCTTAGAGAGATATGAAGTATGAAGTGATTGATGCTTCTCTTCGTTTATAAACATTTTTATCAGTTTTTGTCCACATAACAGAAAACGTCTTTTTGCGGATGAATTGAAAAAAGACTAAATTTTAAACATTCGCAAAGGAAGCATTATTTCAAATGAACAATTATGCAAACATAATTCAATAAGCATCTTGAGAATCATGCACATAGGTCAAATGATCACTTTAGTGGTGTCTTGACATGAATAATTTGAACTAGAAATGTATGCACCAGAAGATATTAAGGTTATAACGCAAGTGCCTTTTTGAGAAGCTTTTCAACAATCAAATTTTCCATTTCGCTATCTAAAAAAAAATAAAAAATGAGAAGACTCCAAAAAGTTTTTTTTTAAATCGGCCACATGTACAACTAACATCCTTTACAACCAGTTAAAACGTTTCATTCGCATTTCTTACTTAGGCCAGAGGTGATCTAAATACTTCTAATTTCAACACATCAATAAAATAATGAAAATTGCTTACTTTCCGCTGCGCTAGTACCTGTCACTTCTTTCTCAAGTTCAAGCTTCTTTTGAGCAAGAGCTAGCATCTCCTCCTCAACTGTATCGGCAGATATTAAACGCACAACAAAAACATCTCTGCAAAGAAACCGTTTGCCATATTCGTCGTACAGAATAGCATGCCTTAGAGTACTATTAATACAGGCATAAAAAATATATTGATTTTTAATATCTTTATCCCTAGATGTGTTCATAAGTTCTTTTAAAAGCTATGTTATTAAATTAGTATTTTCCATCATATAATGAGATAATCCAGAAATAAATGACTCCCATTTCTTTAACTTAAACTTTTAAAAGCATTTCGACGCTGCAACTTAAACTAATTCTCTTGCCTGTATTAATAGCACTCTAAGACTAAGAATACAAAAGAAAGCTTAACAGATAACATACTTCGTTTGACCCATACGGTGACATCTTCCTTCCGCTTGTTTATCATTATATGGATTAAAATCAATATCATGTAGTATGATATGATTAGCTGCAGTCAAATTAATACCCAAACCACCAGCTTTTGTAGACAACAGAAAGACAAACAAATCAGGTGACGAATTATATTCATTGATCACATCTTGCCTGAAGATTTGACAACGATCGATTAGAAGCAAAATAGATTTGAAAACTAAGTGAAGAAATTTTACTTTACCTCTCCATAACTGGAGTTGAGCCATCCAGCCGACAATATTGGTGATCGCGCAATTTGAGGTAAACTTCAAGAATATCCATTACTGATGTAAACTGACTGAATATTAACACTTTATCTCCCTGAAAGATCACAAAAGTTGTCAGCTTTTTGTCTGATTAAAGAAAAAAGTCATTTCATGGTCATAATCGAAATTTCAACTGCTTGCACCCACCTTTTCTTTAATTGAAGGTAACAGCTTATCCAATTCCTTGAACTTTCCAGATTCAAGTGCGACTTCTTCATTGAGAATGAATTTCTGCGTCGAAGTAAATTTTGAACACAACTGACTAATTGCAAAATCTGACAAAAAAGCAAGATCTTCCGCAACATGATCCGATTTCTTTTTGCGATATTCATTTTCCTGAAAGCATAAAAAGTTAAGTATAATTAAGCCGCTGACACAAAAAGAACAAAATGCAACAGTGACAGGGTGACAGACACCTCCGTTTATCCCTGAAACTCCCACCGACATAGAAATCAAACACGAGTCAAAATACTGGGGTAGTTTTAGCGAAGAAGAAATTTAGGAATTAAAAGAGACATGACGATTTTTAGGCAAAAATTCTGAATGTTGTGCGAAAATTGAAAAAAAACCTCTGTACTTCCAAATCTTTTACGGTGATTATTTGCTGAAAGCTATGGATTCCGTTAACATACACAGCACTGTATCATTATAAATCATAAAAAATTCCTTCAGAATATAAATGCAATGAAGATTTGAAAAACAGACCTTTGCGCACAAAATTTTGGCAATTTGAATCACTTTATCATCATTATATAATCGCCTGTACAATAAGGGATGATTGGCCACTTGTCGCAATTGCATTAATGGACTTGAAATGTATTTTTCACCATTTGATTCTAACAGACGAAATTCACGTATCAAATCTGTATAGATCTCTTTCTGTTCCGTAATCATCGGACACTTGATCACACGATCCTTTTTCTTTGGTAAATAACTCAATACCTAAAAGAAAAAATGGATAGAATGTATGTCAAATTTAACACGAAACTTTTCCACAATGAAATTATCACAAGCTGTCACTGTTTCAGCTGTTGTCCATGAAAGTAACTTTTTAAAAATATTAATTTTTTGCCTACTGAACGACAAGCAAACCGCAATAACATTTTGCAACATTATTTACTAATCATTTTCTTACCTTTTTTGTCAAGTGCTTTTCCCTTTCGTATCCCTTCAAAAACAAAATTACCAAGACGTTTTGACACCGCTTTTACATAGGTATTTCACTCAGAATTTTGAAATTCACAGCAATAAAAATTTTCAAAAATAGAAACATACATCTGCTTTTAATCTTCGCAAAATATATGGCTTCAAGATCGCTTTTGCTTGTTCAATCTTATCAGCTTCATACAATGCACCATTTTTGGCTTCCAATGCGGGTATTTTCTTTAAAAGAAAAGGGTATACTTTTTTACTACACGTCACCTTTGAACTTTCAATAAATGAAGCGAAATCTAATCAGGGAGATTTGCAAATTTTCATAGCACCTTGCAGTCCTAATTTTTAAGATAAGTGTTTTTTTCAATAAAAATAATGTGAGTGTAACTATAACTGACTATAATTGAACAACGTGAGCCACTTGAAATTAGAATTCTGAAAAGACCACCAAACCTGTTGAAACTGTTGCAAAAGTTGTCCAATATCATCACAATATTTTGTGAACAATTTCGTCATTGTAAAATACATTAGTGAAATTAGCTCAACAAGATTGTTTTGAAGAGGTGTCCCAGTAATTAAAATTTTTCTCTCACCCTGCAATTCCTTTCAATTATTTGTCCCAAGCAAACATGAATCCAGATTATCAATGACCTCCTTAACAGGCTTTACCTGATTTATATTTAAGTTATTATCGGAAGATGTGTAGTTATGATTTAAATGTACCATTCTACCTATTTTCACAGATAAAGTAATATTATTGTCGATGCAGCATTATAAATTTTTGTTATATCCAAAATGTAATACAATAAAACATACATGGATTTTCATAAGATTTCTATAACGATCAGTATTACAATTCTTCAATAGATGACCTTCATCGTAAATAACATAATTTATCCGGAAACGCTTGAAAAATTTCCGATCTTCTGCTTTAGATCCAACCATATTGTAAGTTGTTAAAAAAACATCTATCTATAAAGCAAAAGTTTGAATAGTGTCCCAAAACCAACGGAAAAGTATCTCTGACCGAGTGATTACTAGATTTCATTCTTAACCAAAAATAAATCATTCTCCTAAATCACTGAAATAACTTATGTCTGACATCACTGATATGACTGCATTTTCGATTGTACCTTTCAATACGCTACGGCAGAGAAAGACCTCAATTACATTTACTAAACCATTTATTCTGCTGTACGTTTCTCAAGGAAGTTTGGACATTCCATTTCCAAAGGTAACAATCATTATAATTGTGACTCTAACAGTGTATCATACACATACGTTTTTGTCGGTTGCCATATGTCGTAACTGCCTTCGGTCAGCAATGCTACCATAATATGTAATGAGATTGACTTTGGGAGACCATTTTGAAAATTCACTAAGCCAATTTTCAATTGTTGAAGATGGCACAACAATTAAGTGAGGTCCCTTGATCTGCTCACTTTTTAAGTAAGTTATAAAAGCTATTACTTGAATTGTTTTTCCAAGACCCTGAAAAAAATAAGGAATGAATACAGCTTAGTAAAGTGTTACGTTCAGTAATGTCATGAATACTCATAAAGCTGAGCTGGCATGTAATAGTTTTATCACATAATGCAGTACTTTTTCAATGAAGCAGTTATCTCACGTCCAATATGACTAACCATTGGCACAATTCTCTTTTTCAAATTACCCAGATTACCGGATATTCATCATACTATATCACATTATCAATAAAGGTATTGTATCAGATTCTCCGAAGTTTGTAAAAGAAAATAGTGCCAGTTTGAATCTTTTAAACCTATTCAATATATGGGAGCTGCAGAAAGTAATAGTTTCCAAAAAACATGTAATGACTACGAATATTTTTTCATTATTCCTTCCTCCTCTCTACATCTTTCTTTCTTGAACCATTATAAACAATTACCATTTCATCAGCTAAAATAGCATTTAGTTTTAGTTTATGCATCATCACAAGCCAATTCAGGCCAATTTGCTGGTATGGATGAAGCTCGCACCTGAAAACAAGCACTGACAAAAGAAACTGTTTCCTCGAAATGATATGGAAGATATGACTCCACAAAACGTACTCTTCACTTAGTAGTTTTGGCTTCATTTGCAACTGTTTGGATTTAATCGATTCTAAAGCAGAATAAATTTCTTCCGAATGTCGACGACAATCATCCAATATATTTTCAAGTATACTTCGATTTTCCAGAAAGTCTAAATACTGCTCAGCAACACAAGATCCACGTGGGCATTGCAAAAGACGGGATTCCTAGAATTTATTGTATAATTTAAAACTTGAGTTTTTCCTCTGCATCAGGCTGCGTGGATGCTCAGAATTTGTAAATAATCACAAATACTGCAATCTTGCAATATTAATAAGATCCTGGCAACATAACACAGCACTTTACAAAAGTTGAAAATAAGCAGAAAACAAAGAAGATAGTGCAGAATACCTACCAAATCTTCATAATCCCGAAACGGTCGATTACTCATTATAAAATCAGCTACTTTATCATTTATGCGTGGGGTTCCCATCAACATGTTTCGATTAGCTTCATTAAAAAATGTCACGCAACAATTTTTCAAAACCATCGATGAAGGAGTATTTCGACGACTTCGTCGCTCCATAACCTGAATAGTTCAAACTGCTGAAGAAATAAAAGAAAAATTAACCTATTAAAAACTAGTCTATTATTTTCTCCACCTTCCAGATATCTGCCGCTCATCGGTGTCATTAACTTTAAGTTCAATAACATCAATAACGGCCACTTGTTTTTAATATCCCCAATTCTACTGAAATACATTAGCGCACTGCATACCAAGATTTCAGTCCTACTACTATGTCTGCACTGTCCTGAATCAGCCTGCTCGCACTTACTTAATATAAGATTCAAAATTAAATTTTCTGAGTCAGTGTACTAACCTGACCATTTTCACTATTACTGTCGCTCCTGCCAACTTGTGCTGAACTATCCGAATCGTAATATTCGTCACTTTCTTCACTGCTTGAATTCACATATTTCTTGTGCTTCTTAGCTCTTTTCACCATCATTTTTAAACTTACTGGAACCTTCAACAAGTTATAAAAATAGATTGAGCGCTAACTTAATGTTTAGCAAAGTACAGTTAAGGAGTTAAGAGCAGTGACAATGCTGAAGCATCTACTGCTTCCCGCATAGGCTGAGTCGAAATCTCGAACACCTGTAGTGTGACTGTCAACTGAATTCGTTATGGAAAATAGTGAATTCGCTCACATCAAAATTTTAATATACTACTTGAGTTCTTGTCTCAACTTCGATGAAATGGTTCCAGTTACCACAGAACCGCTAAAAAATTACTCTTTCTTCATTGCTTTCCGATTTTTCATCACTGGACGAAGAAATGACTGCCCTCTTCCGTCCTTTTCTCCTGGCAGTTGGTTGAGTGGTTATATGTACATCATCTTGTTTCAGAAAACCATTTAATCGTGGCTTGCATAACCACTTCACTTTTGCATCAGTTTTTTGATCACTTGATTCGCTATCTGTCAACGTTTGAAGCCTTAAAAATGATGACAGATAAATAAAACATCCGAATTTCTCAAATTCCAAGTATCCCACACTCACAGCAACTTCATCCACACAATCGACAGGAAAAATATTAAGGTGCAAGCAAGAAAACCGAGCAGAACTGTTCGTTTTGAAGTATATCTTCCATTAGGGCCCACACAAAACAATTATTTGCAGTGTAATAATTTTGACAAATTTGACTAGATGAAATAAGTCCACACTTCATGCAACCAGATTATTTCATTTATCTTCTGCAAATCGACATACCAATCATTTGGATCATTTCACGAAAAGATCCAAATTTGACTTTGAATGACCAATCAGTTTAATAAAAAATAATCATATTTACCTTTCTTCAAAAGTTAAATCTTTTTGCATGATATTCGGTATAGCTCGGAAACTTCTCGAAGGTGCTTTGGATGTCTCTTTTTTATCCTCATCCACTTCTGTATCTGAATTCTGCTTCCTCCAACCGGTGGCAGTATGTGGTGTTTCCAAAATTTTCAAGTCCTCATCATTTGACTCATTTTCAATTAATTCTTCCTCCTCTGATGACGACATCAAACGCCGGCTACGATAAAATGATCGTGTTTTCTTCACTTCTAAAAATTATTATGCTTTGTATGACTCTCACGATTCCGATTCAGTCTCCAGTTATCATAAGCATTTCTTAGTCAATTTACAGAACCTGATAAAACTTCACCTTTTGATCCATGCTGAAGCTGTGCTCGATTGTCCTTTTTGCCAGTTCTTGAAGCAAGCAAATTTACCATCTACAAATCAACTTCTTAATTTCTGAATCAGTATCATGACATGGTATATAAAACAAATAGCTTCTTGGAAATGTTTATAGCCTTTCAACGTTCAGCTTGTTCTTGCTATATCAGATCCCCGTTTTTTACAGAAGAAAGAGTCAACATGAACGACCCTTGAAAAGAATCCATGTCCGATTAACCGGAGAACGATCAAAATATGAATACAAACACCATTGAACTATCAATCGCGTAACCTTTCAGTACGATACTTTTAATAGCTCTAAGAAATAACTGTGCTTGGTTAAACTTATACACACAGACAAATATAACTGGACACATAAAATCACAACAGGCCATAACAATTTTATTAGATGTTATGTACAGTTATGTGCATTTTGTCCAGGACTGATAAACATCAAGAAAAAGAAAGATCGGTTTCCATACAAAAGATATAGTAGTAACTTTCTGTGCTTAACAAATTTAGTCGCTTCCTGTGCTTGACAAGAAATAATTTTAGTATTTTCTGTGCTTGATAAGAAATGAATTTAGTTTTTGTGCTTGGTAAGAATTTTTCAACCAAAAAATGCAGAATTAAATTAAAAACTCCAGAAAAGAGACAAATGGTTTTTTCTTTTTCCTTTTAAGTAGAGAAACACCCGTTGATTCTCCAAAGTTAAAAGTTTCAATGAAAATTTAGGAGAAGAAATCTTGATCCGCTAACTCGCAAATCAAAAACTTCAGTTTTATTTCTTCCAACAGTCTGGAATAACTCCAAACAAAAAGAGGAGGAATATAGTAGAAATCTTCGGAATTAGTTGGGATCAAATTTTTATTTAGCAGAAATTTCACAGCAAAGATAAAAATTTGATAAAGATTGCCGCATTCAATTAAAACTCAGACTTCCTCTTCATTGACTCAATAAAAGTCGGAATAATTTCGAAGAAAATTTAGATTTTAAGATTTCAGAAGGATAAAATAGGAGACCTGTGCAACGGATTGCTTCTTAAAGGCCAACCCACGAATGACATCTTTCACTGATTCATTGGGTCGATGAGCCACGCGACGCCTTTCCCCAGTGATAGTTCCGAATGACCCCGCCGCACTCATCTCCCTCGAATACTCCTTCACTTTACCTTCCTCACCCAGACTAGCAGTCTTGGTCCAACTGTTAATTTCAACTGGCGCTTAATTAATTCCTGTTTGTTCCCCAGACAATAACACAACCAAACCATTCATTTCTCATTTACGATTTGGGCGGTTTCTGTCATTTACATCACAATGCTCGGTCTACTATGAAATTTTATATTTTACTCTTTTCTTTATGGCTCATAAAATGTTTGTTAATTTTATGTAAACGAAAGGGAGAGGAGGAGTGGGGATTCAAATCAGGTTGGTGGAAATTTTAAATAATCCATCAAAAGCTCTTTTTCACTACTATCTTATACGGAAATAGTAATTTTGTGGTGCATAACTGAATCGCATTTTCCATGCGAATTTCTAGTATCTTTTGCGTCGAGTTCATTCCATCGGTAGATATCAACAAACCTTGACCCCAGCTAATAGTAAATGGAACTCTCTTTTTTTTTCATTTAAGTAATACATATAGTGCTATTATTCAGACTTAACGGTTAGCAATTAATTATTTTAGCGGTCTATTCGTATTATTAGCCGGTTAATATAAGACAATCAGGTAGATATGAAACAGTACAGTATATAAAGGGTGAGATATTCCTTAGAATATCATCGTCGAAGATTCTACTGAATGAATAGAGCGCAAATATTGATAACTTAAGGAATTTAAGCATAGAATTCTCCATCAAATAGCATAAGATTTTTTCACCAGTTTTATAGCTTCAGTTATTAAAACTATTTTTATTTTTTGGATCAAAATAACTAATTTTGAAGTGGTTTCAACTTAGCAATGACAAGATGGAAATGCATCCCTACAAATGATATAACTGTTTCATGATCGATATAATGTGTACCGGAGATCATTGGTTGGCTGTTCCTCTCTGAAATCCTGAATATCAGTTAGTCGAGGATATGCTTACTGTGATTACTTTTGGAATGGACGATGGTGTTATGTTTCAGATAATCTACGAATGTTATTTGCGTTAATTTTACTGAATTGTATTAGCTATAGATTATTTGTTAGTCAAGTTTTCGATTATTAGTTCCAGAGAGGTGTGAAAAATTGTTATGGATAGAGCGGTCTGGGTTAGTTATATCTAATCTAATAACTTGTAGAGTTAACATCGACTTATATTCAGGTTTGCAGCTTAAAATACCTTTATGATTAGTATGGACTTAAATGCAGATGTAATGCAATTAAATTGTGAATTGCAGCAAATTGAAACAAACGGGAATTAATTTGAAGTCCTCATTTACTGATCGCAACAAGAAGATAATGTGAATGGATGATAATTAGAAAGATGACTAAGATTAACATTTAATACGCAGAAGTTAGAATAAGATGGAGAGATTTATCTTCTTCTGGCACATTTTATATCAAATATTATCCAGAAATCTTACCTGTTGTAAAACATTCTGGAATGGACATCCGGCACTGTATAAAGCCTTAAATTTAGTGGTAAGATGAAGCATTTGTTACGAAAATTCTCCTAATTTCTTTTTCATATTATTCGATTCAGATATATTTAGCTGCAACAATTGAGCAGTGCATCGGAAGATGAAGGTATTCCTGGGAGTTCCAAACAACCAGAAATAAAATTATCTGATGCTTGAATTATTAGCAAAAGATGATTGATTGAAGGAGTAGATGTCACGTTCGCTTATCAATACCCATTGATTATCTGGCGATTAATCCCACTCTACCATTTTTGTAGTATTTTTATATGAATTTTCATAGTAATGTTTACCACGGATTTTCAAGAGTTCGATTAAGCCTTGCTTCAGCACGTTTATCTGGTAGTTTCCACAATATCTTTTCTTTGGGTTTTCAGTCTATATTTTCCGCACCATCTATGATAAGATTATAATGGTGAATTGAATAATAAAACCAATTACAAACCTATT